CATGGTGACATTTGGCTTCTATGAATTCAGTAACACTTTTTAATTTTTAAAAAGATTTTATTTATTTATTCACGAGAGACCAGAGAGAGAGGGAGGGAGAGAGAGGGAGGGAGAGAGAGAGGAGGGCAGAGAGAGAAGCAGGCTCCATGCAGGGAGCCCGATGCAGGACCCAATCCCAGGTCTCCAGGATCACACCCCGGGCCGAAGGCGGCGTGAAACCGACGAGCCACCTGGGCTGCCCGAATTCAATAACATTTTAAGACCATTTTATCATTTACTTCATCCTGAAAGTATTTATATACACTTATAAGTCTGTCTTATGTATAAATTAAAGGCACATAATTTATTCCATCTAGAGGCAGTGCTTCTCGGGCATATAATTCAACGGTTCCCTGTAACGATTCCGTGCTCTTCCTCTATTTACCCCCATGGTTTACTATGAAGAACTGTGTTGGACCTTTTATTTTTCAAGCTGAGGAAACTGAGGCTCAGGGCAAGGCAGGAACTTGCTCAGGATCACCTAAAAAGTTTACAGCACAGCCAGGACTGAAACCCAGAGCTCGGGATACCCAGCCCAGGTCACTGGGTGGCTTGGGCCAGCCCTCTAATCTCCTGTCCCTTGGTCATCAGAGGGAACAACACAGGATGCTGTGGTGGCACCGGAGCTGACCCGTCGGATTCTCATGGGGCCAGCCGCTAGGAAAACCAAGTGGGCACAGATTCCCAGTCCTCAGGCCACACTAGCTGCCGGGCATTCCAGGACCCTGGCGCCCCGCCAAGGGTGAAAACAGAGCTGCTGCCCTCCTGAGCTGCATTCTGCCCCCCCCCCCTTGGGTTTGCATCTCATTGCTGGGTTTGCAACATGCCTAATCTCTGCATGTGCAGACTCAGAGGAGCCAGCTGAGAGGGAGCATTGCCAGCAGCTTGGAGTCCTCCCTGAGGCCTGCGGGCCAGCCCTCCCCCAAGCCCCTCAGTGGGCAAACAGGTCCAGAGCAGACTGCAGAAACAGTTGCTGGAGCTTCAGCCAGCTCAGGCTTCCCAGTGCCCGCTGAGATGGAACCAGTGAAGGACATTAGCCTGTGGTGTTCTCCCTCTCTTCCCCAGTGGAAGTCCTGCCACACCCCCCCCCCCCACACCACCACCACCACCACCTTCATTACAGACACAGGAAGGAGCTCTAATGCACATCAGTCATGCAAATAAGGCTCGGTTCCGGTTCACCAGGCAGCTGGACTGCTCCAAGAATGGAGGGAACTTAATCATGCAGTCAATAAATAAGCCTCAAATAATGAGTACTCTGAAAGCCATCGTATTTCCTTTCTTGCGCTAGCCGCCAGGAGGCTCAGCACTGAAAGGGTGGCTAGATCACTAACCATCTGACAACAGATTCTTTTTTTTTTTTTTTAATGATTTTTTCTTTTTTTTTTTTAATAATTTTTTGTTTGTTTTTTATTTATTTATGATAGGCACACAGTGAGAGAGAGAGAGAGGCAGAGACACAGGCAGAGGGAGAAGCAGGCTCCATACACCAGGAGCCCGACGTGGGATTTGATCCCGGGTCTCCAGGATTGCGCCCTGGGCCAAAGGCAAGCGCCAAACTGCTGCGCCACCCAGGGATCCCTGACAACAGATTCTTGGTATAATTGGCATCAATCTTTCTCCATGAAATCTCTGTCCCGTTGAGTACATGTTTGTGTTACAAATCATCACGGTTCTTTTACGTGATGAAGGTGAGATGTAAGTGAAAAGTAAAATATGAAAGGAAATGGCCAGTAGACATCTCTATCCTGAGGTATAAATGAATGCTTTTCTCAGAGGAGATGGTTTTCCATTTAAGACTCAGAAAATGTCTGCATGTCTCTTTTCCTCTCCCTCCTTCTTCCCCTCCATCCCTTATTTTCTTACTCTTGCCTTTTCCCTCCTTCCCTTCCCCTTTCAGGTCTCTCCCCTCCCCTCCTTCCTGCTCACTCCCTGCCTCTGGGTGGCCAGTTTAATACTAATATCCTTTACAGACCCGTAGCACTTGGCTCTTCCCAAGGCCTCGCCCCAGCCTTTACCTCATTTATTCCTTATGGGGATTACCTGGCAAACAGGACAATTTCCATTTTACCAATGAAGACAGAAAGGCCTGGCGAGTTTAAGTGATGTGCGTGTGCTCAGAGCATACACTTTAGGACTTCTTATCAGGTTCAGGTCCCGGACTCAGAATCTAATTCCATCACAGTCTCTGCTGTACCTCACTGCCTCTCAATGCCAGCCTCACCCACTGGGCCACCCACCCTGCCCTGCTAAGATCAGTGAAAGCACCCAGAAGAGAAGATGATTCAAAACAATAACCCGCCCACCTTGTCTTCCTTTCTGAGATCTCTTTTAGACTTGAGATTCTCAGTGGGGCCAGTAGGACATATTAAAGGGGGTGGTAAATTGCGACATGGGTCATTTGGCTGTTCATTTGGCCAAATATTGAGAATACACTGTGTGCTAGGCAAGGCTGAGACTAGGCTAAGGCAAGAAGTCACCTAAGTTGCCAAATTCAAGGATGTGTTCACTTTCAGGTGCCATTCCTGCCAAGGGCATGACCCAGAGAGGTGGAGTGCCTCCTTAAAGTTTATGCCCTAGCACCTTGCTGGTCTTTCACTAGTTCTTGTCCTGGTATCAGGTGCTGTTACATGTGCCAGCAATGCAGTTTTTTCAGTGGTGAGCAAAGGTGCCTGCCCTTGTGGAACTTATAATGTATTATGGCAAACAAGTATTCATCAAATAATCATGCTAACAAAAGACTGTTCTAAGGCTGACAAGTGCCACGAGGTAAGGGACGCGGAGCTGGAGACGGTATTATGGCTCAGGAGGTGGGGAGAAGAGAGGGAGGGCTGAAGGATCTGTAGGATTTTTTTTCAGGTGTGCTGCAAGTGGAGGACACAGCAAGTTCACAGGCACCATGGCAGGGTGGGGGTGGCATGGAGGTGGTGCTGGTGGAGGATGGAGGGGCCAGAGCAGGAGAAATACAAAATGGTCCTGAGCAGTCTTTTTCTAATAAACTGCCACAGTCTGCAGATGACTGACTTAAAAGAACAAATCCAACCCAATGGAGAGAATTCAAAGCCACCCCTTAAGGAGGTCACTTATACCCACCTTCCTGATCAGCTTTCTTCAGGTGCAGATATGCAGAGACTGTGTCTCTCTCCAAACTCATCTTCTTCCATTTCCGTGCGGCAGAATCTATGATAGAATCTAACATTGGCCACATTTTCCAGATGAACAAATGGGAGCAGAGAGAAGCTGGATAACCTGCTGTCTCAGGCGGCTCAGGCGGCCATGACAAAATGCCATAGCCTGAGTGGCCTAACAAGATTTATCTCTCACAGTTTTGGAGGCTGGGAAGTCCACCATCAAAGTGCCAGCCAGTTTGGTTTCTGGGGAGAGTTCTCTTCCTGGGTTGCACACTGATGCCTTCTCATCCTCACCTGGTGGAGAGGAGAGAGAGAGAGAGAGAGAGAGAGAGAGGAGCCAGCTCTGGTGTCTCTAACTCTTCTTAGAAGGGCACCAGCCCTATTGGGTTAGGACTCTAACCTTGTGACGTCATTGAGCCTTTATCACCTCCTCTCAGGCCCTGTTGCCAAATAGTCACATTAGGGATAGGAATTGGGGTTGCGGGGTGGGGGCAAATTCTCAGTCCATTAACATCCACCAACCGCTGGGATTTGCAGGCAGTGCTCCTTTTGGAGACCTGGGTCTCTAACCCCCAGACCGAGCCACCTCAGGATGTGTTGTGTGTGAATGTTGCCCATCCAAGTGAGAAGTGCTCCTCGGGGCAGGAAGCCTTCCGTGATCCTTTGCAAATAAATCCGTGAGACCTTGCCCAGACCCAGCAGCGGGACTTGGGGGCGGCCTGAACCCACCCCAGGGTGATCCCCGTGATCCTTCCGGGAGAGGCTGGGCTGAGAGTGAGGCATGGGGGCGAACCAGACCTGAAACATAACGCTTGAAGCGGGGTTCTCCTGTCTCCAATTTACTCGGAGCAGGTCCCCGCTCCAGTCTAGGCCCCGTTAGGAATGGACTGCGTGACCTTGGGCAAGTCCCTGGACATCCTGGCATCTTCCTGCCCTAGGCTCCCGCCTCGGGGACCTCAACCCCGGCCCCGGCCCCTGACGGGGGGGGGGCGGGGGCCATTCCGTGGGCCGGGAGGGCGGCCCAGCTGCAGGCGCGGAGCCTGCCCCCCCGCCGCCCCCGCAGGTGCCCGGTCCCCACCCCGGGCCGCGCAGGTGGGGACGGGGCGGCGCGCCCGGCGGCAGGGAGCCGAGTGCCCGGTGGCCCGCAGGCCGCGCCGCAGCCACGCCGAGTCCGCGGCCGCCGCAGGGAGGGCGCGCGGGGGCCTCCCGCGCTCGCCGCAGACCCGCCCGGCCCCCCCCCCCCGCCGCCCCGGCCCCGCGGCGCCCCGGCCCGGCCCCCCGGCCCCGGCCCCGGCCCGCGGGGGGCTGGACTCCCTCCGGGCGGGCCCCGGCCGCCGCCCCTCCCGGCGCCCGCTCCCGCTCCCCGCGCGCCCCCCTCCCGGCCGCCAGCCAACTGCGTGCCCCCGGGGCCGGCAAGAAGCCACATGCCCCCGCAAGGAATGCCGGGCCTGGCGGGCGGGGGGCGGCGCTGGGCAGGGCCGGGCGGGCCGGGCAGGGAGCTCCCCGCCGGGAAGGTTGGTGAGACGGAGAGGGCGGCCCGCGCCCGGCCCGGCCCACGCGCCCCGCGCCCCCCGCCCCGCGCCCGGCCCGGCCCCCGCGCCCCGCGCCCCGCGCCCCGCCCCCGCCGCGCGACCTCACACTTTCCCCGCGGGACACGCGGGCGAGACGCCCCGCGGGGCGGGGGCGGGGGCGGCGGCGGCGGCGGCGGGGGCGGGGAGGGGGCGGGGCGGGGGCGGGGCGGGGGCCGGGGTGCGGGCGGCGCGGGGCCCGGGGCCGGGCGGGGCGACTCGGGCCGCCCCCGCCCCCTCGGCGCGTCCCCCGGCCCCGCGGGCTCGGCGGAGGGGGCGGGCCGTCGTGCTTCCCCGCACCCCTCCCAGCCGCCGCCGGCTTTGGGGCCCCGGCGGGGAGCAGGGGGCTGGTTAGCGGAGGAGCAGGGGTGTGGCCAGCGGGGCCCCGGGTAGTGAGTCACACACGCTGCTCGCCCAGTCCCGGGCCGCGAGCGCGGTCCCGGCCCGAGCCGCGCGCCGCCCTGGCCCTGGCCCGAAGAGTGTCCCCGGGCTTGGCATGAGGACCCCGGGGTGCCGAGGGAGGGGCTGAAGCCCGGCGGTGGTGGAGGAGGGCGGTAAGCGCGGGCTGGGAGACTGCCCCGGAGAGCGGAGAGCGGAGAGCGAGAGCGGGTGGGGCTGGGAGTCGGGGCGGCCCCGCGGGGACCCCCAGGCCCCGCCTGTACCTGCTCTGAGCTGGCAAAGCGGGCCTGGCCGCATTCCCTGGCAGCCTCGGGGTGAGGGGCTGCGCCGCCCGCTTCTGCGGCCCGCTTCATCTGCCAGCCCCCCTTGGCCCCAGCTGGGCTTGAGTGGGTCCCTCCCCTGCTCCCAGTTGCAGACTTTGGGGCTGAGGCGCCTGTGGATTCCTGGCACCCGTTGCCCTTTACTCCTGGGGTCCCTGGCTGTGCTACCCTAAGTCCTGCCCCCTGGCCTGAGCTGCCCCCGGGCGGCCTCTGACCCCAGGGGCTGGTGGCTCCAGTCTTCCCTAGGACCAGCCCGGGATAGAAATGGCATTTCCTCTTGGCTGGGCTACAGCTGTTTTTGTTGTCTGTGTTCTCAAGCGCTTCCTCTGGGGATGGCAGGGAGGGTAACCAGACTCCACGGGACCCCCGCTTGCCCTCTCTGACACTCACCCTTCTTCCCCTGTCTCTTTGATCCTCTTCCTGCGCCATCCGCCTTCGCGTCCCCAGGACAGAATGACTGAGAACATGAAGGAGTGCCTGGCGCAGACCAAGGCGGCCGTGGGGGATATGGTGACCGTGGTGAAGACCGAGGTCTACTCACCACTCCAAGACCAGGAGTATGGCCAGCCCTGGTGAGGCCCTTATGTGGGGACAGGAGAGGGAAAAATGGGGAGTCTCCAGGCTGGGTGGGGTGGACGCCCCCGGGCGGGGGGAGTTCCCACTCCTGGCCCACCTTCCTTAACTTTCTCTGGGCGGCTTCTGGGAGCAGATGTGAACGCAGGCTCTAGAAGGCTAGAAGAATCCACACTGCAGCCCTCGAAGGCCTAGGCCCAGGTCTCAGAACTCCTTCACTATCCCTAGCACTGAACAGGCAGCCTGGCTGGGACTCCTCTGCCCACCTCGCATCCCCGTGGACTCCTGGCCTGGTCCACAGCTCCTCTGCCCACCAGCCTGCCACTCTCTGATGGCTTCTTTGCTTTCTTTACCGGCCCCTGGCCTGGCCAGCTCTAGGAGACCAGACCCCTCAACCATGGAAGTGGAGCCCAAGAAACTGAAGGGGAAGCGTGAGCTCACCATGTCCAAAAGCTTCCAGCAAGTGGACTTCTGGTGTAAGTGGAGCTTGGGGCTGTGCCTGGGTTTCTCCTCCCCTCACCCTACACCCACCCCGCGCCCCATCTCTGCTTAGGGAACTTGCAGCCACCATACTAATGATAGGTACTCGCCCGTTATGTAGCAGACGCAGGGCCAGGCTTCTGTGAATCCTCACCGTGAGCCACCGAGGTGGCTTTTATTGGTCCCATTTTCCAGATGAGGACACTGGGGCTTGGTGAGGCTCAGAACCTTGCCTCGGGTCCCCCAGCCCACAGATGCACACGGTTGCAGTTCAAACCCAAACCCATCTGACTCCAAAGTTGTGCTTTATACTTAAAACAAAGGGAGCTACTGGCTTCCTTCGCATTGGCAGGCATGTCCTTGGAACCCCCAGGGAGGGTCATGGGTTATTACCACGGAAGACTCAGGGGCCTGAGGCTGGCTGGGGTGGAGCCGATCCCATGCAGTGTGCTTCTCACTGCCCTCTGCCGTCCTCAGGGTGGGCTTCCCTGCAGCCCCTCGCCTCCGCCGTGGGCGTCCTGCCTCCATGCCGCAACTGAGGCTCTTTCGCTCTTTCCATCCCTTCAGTCTGCGAGTCCTGCCAAGAGTACTTTGTGGATGAGTGCCCGAACCACGGTCCCCCAGTGTTTGTGTCCGACACGCCAGTGCCCGTGGGCATCCCAGACAGGGCTGCCCTCACCATCCCGCAGGGCATGGAGGTGGTCAAGGAAGCCAGTGGGGAGAATGACGTGCGATGCGTAAATGAGGTCATCCCCAAGGGCCACGTCTTCGGCCCCTATGAGGGGCAGATCTCCACCCAGGACAAATCAGCTGGCTTCTTCTCCTGGCTGGTGAGTGTCCCCCGGGCTGTGCCGCTGTGCCATGGGAGAGGGTGCTAAGGAGCGAGCCTAGAAGGAAACCAGCAGGGGGAGCCATACGCTGGCCCAGCCTGGCCCAAGAGCTTTCCTGCCATCCCTCCAGGATGCCGGGATGATGGATGTTGCTCTCCCCTTGCCCTGGCTGATTGCTTGCCACCCTGGGTGGCTGAGAGCCGCGCTGAGGAGCCCATCTGGCCATAGTCAGCAGAACCAGTGACGGGGCTCAAGGGAGCCCATGGCCCGCCAGCCAGGCAGAGCACAGGGTGACTTCCCCATTAATGTTCATGTGTGCATGTCTGGTGGGCCCCACAAAATGTTGTGGCATTTACGAGGGGTTTACCCAAGCCCTCCTCTGGAGCGGGTGACTTGGGTCTGGGGGCCACAAAGCAGTGATGCCAGGTGCTAGGCTGGGCGCCAGAGGAAACATGGCCCTTCATGTTCAGGGAGTGGACAGTCTGGTGGGGAGAACAGGCACTGGACAGGTAAGTGCACATGTGATCATTACTACGGAAGGGGGAAGACAGGACATTCTAGGAGCAGAGGGAGACGGTGGTGTTCATGGTGCTCAGGGACCTGGGGCCTGGAGCCAAGTTCATTATGTCAGCTGACTTTGCTATTTACTATCAAACGTGACCTTGGATGAGTCATTTAACCTCTTTGTGCCTGTTCTGTAACAGGATAATCACAGGTGATGGTGGAGATGAAATAGGTTAATGTTATGAAGCTCTTAGAACTATGCCTGCTTTCAGGAAGCTTGCAGTGAATATCTGCTATTATTATTGTTGTCGTTGAGGGGTTTGGGCAGGATTCCCTTCAGCCTGAGACCTGAGGAATGAGTAGCAGTTATGGGAAGGGAGACAGAAAAATGCTGTGTGCATACAGAACAGCTGAGCAAGAGAAACTCCAACCGGTCTGGTGTGGTACTAGCAATGAGCCCGAGAGGCAGAGAATTCCCACCAGATGGCCAGAACAGCATGTGCAAAGGCCCTGTGGCAGGAGAGAAGATGGCATGTTTGCACAACTAGAAGAAGATCACTGTGCCTGAAGTACAGCAAATCCAGGGGCTGCGGGGGAGGGGGAGAGACAGAAGCTTGGATATATAGGGCCCAGTAGACCAAACTGGGACTTTTGCTCTTTAAGAACACTGAGAAGTTTCATTTATGTTTTGAAAGGGTGACTTTGGCTGTAGCCTGGAGAACAGATCGGGGGTGGGGACATTGGTTGAGAATGGATGCCTACAGCTAAGTTAGAAGTTATTTTCTACGTTGGTAATGGTGGAGGTTTGAACTAGGGTGGGGTGGCAACATGGAGACAGGTGAACTAGTTTGTGACCTGTTTCAGAGATAGGCGAGATTGACTTGGAAATAGATTGATTGGCCTAAGTAAGGGTGTGGGAATTGGCCAGGACAAGTCCTTCAGAGTTCCACTCTCAGCAGGTCAGGAAGGCATCTCTGAGAAATGGAATGCAGGGCAGGACCTGGGTGGAGGTCCAGATCTCCATTCTGGTTTTGGACTGACGGCAAGGTACCCAGTGGCTGTGTTAACTAGGCGGTGAGCTACATGGGTGCGGAGCTTGGAAAGGAGGTTTAGAGATGTCACTTCCGGAGTCACCTGTGCATAGGGGTCAGTGGGGTCAGAGATGCAGAGGGCAGACCACAGGGAGAATAGGTGAACGAGAGGTGGAGAGGGTCTACCATGAGCGTTGAGGAACTTCAGTGGTGAGCAGGTCCAGCAGGGGAGTGTGATCCTGCAGGGGCGACAGGACGAGCAGCCCAAGAGATGGGAAATGCAGAATGGCCAATGGTGTCGGATTCTGCTGGGAAACAGGCAAGAGAAGGCCTCAAAAGCGTCTCTTGGGTTTAGTGCTGGGAAGGTCACTAGCCACTTTATTTAGCAAGAACTGTTACTGTCAGACAGTGGTTCTTTAACCCCGGAGAGGTTTGCTCCCTCCTCCCCTCACGGGGGCATTTGGTAACGTCTGGAGATGTTTTGGCCGTCACGACTTGGGATGGGGATATGCTACTGGCATCTAGAAAGTAGAGGCCAGGGGTTCTGCTAAACCTTTCATAATGCACAGGCTGGCCTCCTACAACAAAGAATGATCTGGCCTCAGTGGTTGATGGTGCTGTGGTGGAGAAGCCCTCTGATGGGAACCTTGTTAGAACCCAGGTGACCAGTGGAGCCACTTCTTAAGAGGTTTGATCAGAGGTAGTAAGAACAGTGGAGGAGAGACAGGAGTTGGGAGGAGATGGCTGCAGGCAGATGCAGGGGCAGGTGCAGATGCAGATGCAGGAGCTTTGTTAAAAGAGGGACAAACAAACCTTGAAAAACCTGGTGGGAGGGTCCTACTAAGAGAACCAGTTGCATATAGAGTAGAGATGAGGCTTGGTGGACGAGTTGTTCTATTATCAAGAAGGTTCAGGTGAAAACATTGCATACAGGAGGGAGATGGGTCAGTCAGCATTTTTCCTATCACTGGAGGGACATCCTAGAGGCCTGGAGCAGATGGAGGGAGGGTAGGGAGGGGCCTAATTATGTCCCCGCCTTCCCCAGAGGATGGCCATGTCCCGATCCCTGGATCCTGTGTGCATGTCCACTTAGACAGCAAAAGAGACTTTCCAGAGATAATTAAATTAAGGCTCTTGAGATAGGGGTATTATCTTGGATTATGGGGGGGGCATAGAATTACAAGCATTTTTATAAGAGGGAGGCAAAAGAGTAAGAATCAGAAAAGATTGGAAGATGTTATCCTGCTGGCCTTGAAGATAGAAGAAGAAGCCAGGAGCCGAGGAACGCAGGCAGCCTCTAGAATCCTCTAGAAGGCAAGGAAGTAGAATCTTCTTCTCTCAAGCCTCCAGGAGGAACTCAGCCCTTCCGACACCTTGATCTGAGGACTTCTGACACCCGGAACTGTGAGATAATAAATGTGCCATGTTTGAAGCCACCGTATTGTGGCCATTTGTTAAGAAGCGATGGGAAATGCACTCAGTGGGCTTCCGTGTCTGGGGGGGGCGGGGGCGGCTGCTAACATGCGTGGAGAGAGCTGGCCTGAGCCAGGGGAGCGCCGAAGCTGAGTTCAGGTGGGATATGTGAGACGCCCAGGTGGCCTGTCCAGGGGCACACTGGTGCATGTCGGGCAGCTGAGGACAGAGGCCTGCGTGTAGGGAGCATGAAGCATGTCAACGGATGCGGCTGAGACCCTGGGAGGGGGCGGGGGGTGGGGACAGGTTTGCAGAGAAGCGGGAAGACAGCTGCGGGGCTGGAGCAGCGCACGGATCTCTGTGTCCTGGCCACAGGCAGTTTTGTGATGGAAGCTTTGCTGCCTGGGATTGAGGTGTGAGTGGGAGGTGAGGGGAGCCAGCAATGGTGCCTGGCTTGTTTTTAAAAGTCTGGCTGCCGGTGAGCAATGATTATATGCCAGCTGTGTGCCACATTCCTCCTCCGACAGTCCTGTAGGCGAGGGTCGATCCCCTTCTGGTTCAGGAGAGGACACCTGGGACTGAAGAGGTTCAGTCTACCACCCCAGCTCTCATGGCTGACACAGGGTAGACTGTGAAGATAGCACCTCTCCATGCTGCTGAGCTTTAAGGATGGGAGGACAGGAGGCCTTTCATACAGTAATACAGAGGCAGAGTGCTGCTGTCTTGTCTTGTGGTTGTAGTCCTGCAGAAGGCTGTAGGGCCAGGGAGAAGGGGAATGGATTTTGACTGGGCAGATTAGAGATGAGTGTCGAAGGATGGGTAGAAGTTCAGCAGAGGTGAAAATCTAGGCCTATGCCCAGGAAGGGACCCCCGCCCCAAGAATCTACAATTTGTGACAGCCCAGCTCAGCAAGCTTGGGATCTCGAAAGCAGGCAGCTTCCCCAGGTTTGCAGCCTGGCCTTGGTCCGGGGTCTGGAGAAAAGGGAAAAGAGGAAGCCCCAGAGTTTGCAGCCTGCTCACAGACCAGCTCTACCAGTCAAGAGTGGGCGTGGCCTGTAGTTCAGGGACCAGTGGCCAGCAGTGTTGCTCCCTTGGAGGTTTCTTCCTAGGGCCTTGGAGCTAGGGGCTGTGACATGTGGATGAGGGCAGGGAGGGAGTGGCTGGAGGTCAAGGGACCATGTGGAGGCTTTCACCTTTGTGAACCAGGGAGGTGAGAGGCGTTGAAGGCCGGGAGAGAACAGATGTGCAGAATGGCTCAAAAAAGCAAGGCCTCCGTGTGTGTGTGTGTGTGTGTGTGTGTGTGTCCTCAGTCAGGGTTTCAGTTGGGGAAAAGCAGGAATGAGGTACAGCTCTGCTGGCTCAGGTGATGGGTTGGTTGAACAGAGGGAGGTGGGAAGGAGGGTGGTGGTGAACCACGCACTGATTTTGGACCAGGAGCTAGAAGCATCACATCCCAAACAAACTGCATTCATTTGTCAAATCCTGTCCCAAACCAATACTCGATGTCCTTTCTTGACCTCTGCTTGCCTTCACAAGCTCTGGCCTTCGTCCAGCACAACACATTTCCTTCCACAACTGCTCATGTGTACACACTGCTCCAGTAGAAATAATGCTGGGGCCAGTAAGAAGCATACCTGTTCATGTTTCTTGAGCACAGACAGTGCTTCAGGTCTGTGCTCAGCACTTGACAGCACAATCTCATTTGGTCCTGATGATGCCCCCGTGAAGTAGCTATTATTCTGTTATTTTACCCACTGTACGGCTGAGAAAACTGAGGCCTGGAGAGGAAAGTCATTCTGCACAAAACTGAACAGCTAGCAAGTAGCTGAGCAGAGGTTCCAACCCAGCAGTCTGGACTCCAGAACCCACCCCTCCCATTCTGTCTCCTGGTCCTTCTCCACCTTCCTTACTTATCTCACCTATTCCTGTCTGCTGGCCTTTGGCTTTAATGTCCTTATCCTTCCTGCCCAGCACTGGTTCCCTCTCCATCTCCCTTCAACCTAGAAGAAGGCTGGTCCCATGGTGCCCAGTGTGGTGTGGGGCCAGGGCCTG